TTGAGATGTTAACTCTTTTTTTTAAATCTGCAGTGTGATGGCAGGTATGAAGGATTCAGGGAAAGTTTTAACAAGCCACTCTGCACTCAGGGACAGATGGACGACCTAGAGGGGAAAAGTCTGCTGTGGCTCTTCCGGATGCATGCAGCTTTTTTGGGTTTATTGCCAATGTCCCCAGAGGGATAACTCTGGGAAACCAGTGGACACCTCCATTTCAAAGCAACTATAAACTCCTATTAACATCAAGGCCATGCCAAAATGAGGAACCCTGATTTCCAGAGGCAACCACCAAGCAGAAGACCAGAAGATTTTCAGAACAATGTCCGAGTTAAAATTTAGTTCAGGGCAGTGCAACCCCCTGTATGCACAGGCATGCACAGAGCATTTATAACATAAAACCTTTTGAGATTTTCTCAGCAAGCAATAATACATAGCTGATTTTAACAGCAAATTTTGTTGCAAAATGGGGAGTGCTATAAATGATGGCACCATGGTGCCTGGTCTCAAGTCACTCCACAGCTGTAAGGTAGCCTGAACATGCAGCCAGACCAGCACCCATGGGAAACTCAGGTTCCTTCTAGCTGACATGTTTCAGGAACCTAAAGAAGTTGTATTTCAAAGGCACGGGGGTGTCTAACTTAGAGTCATAGAAAAGCAGGGCAGGAAGGGGCTTCCTGAGGTCATCTAGTTCAATCCCCCACCTAAGACAGGATAATTATTCCATGCAAATTTTTGTCCAGCCCATTAAGAAAACTTCACAACCCACCCTGTCACACAACCACAAGGCACAGCACCCTAACCTGCCATAGCAAAGCAACAGGGCCATGGCAGCTAATGTCCTGCCACTGTGAAGGTTACTAAAATATGCTCAAGGGCCATGTCCCCCACTACAGAGGAAAGGCAAAATAGTAACACCCACAATCTGTACAAATCTGATGGTGGGGTAATATTCCTTCCTGAAGCTAAATGTGGCAATTAGTCTGATTTTGAGTGGAGGAGCAAGACCATCTTAACACGGACAAGTGCAGGGTGCTGCACTTGGGCAGTAGGAACCAGCAGCACACTTACACAATGGGGAACTCCTTACTCGAGAGCACGGAGGCAGAAAGGGATCTTGGAGTCATTATTGACTCCAAGATGAACATGA